TATATATATATATATATATATATATATATATATATGTATTTTATACTAGCGATAACATTCACAATACTTTAAAAAGTACATCTGGGAAAAGACAAGACAAGAAGAAAGAAGTTTCACATTACAGACATATTTTAAACATCTACATAATATCAATCAATATTTCTTATTAAAAATATATCTTGAACGTACAGTTCTTCTAGATATTGCAGGTTTCCAAACGTTGTTGAATTTATCAGTCTGATCTGATTGTGGCTGAGGTCCCTGAAAAAAAACAACAATATTAAATCATTAAGAATATCAGTTAAGCCTATGAAACATCGGCACTCTATCCCAGACAGGTGATAGCATTACTTTACTGATTATCACAAGAACAATATTTATTTTTTATAATAACGAAAAACAAACAGATTAAAATTAAAGAATATAAAAAGGAAAGCGTTTGTTGCTTTATAGATACAAACAAGGTCACGAATTTTGTGTTGATACCATTTTAGGAGCAAAGACAGCAACTGAGCCAATCATTAATTCTTTAATACAAAACTATCATAATCAGACACGAAAACTGATACCTGCCAACTCTATGATATAACGCAGAAATGTCTGTTGAATAATAATATCCAAAACAAAAAAAGGTAGACACACTTTTATTCTATTATGAAAGTTGGCATTTAACTCTTTAATTGTTTTGCATGCAATATCAGAAACATTGATTAATCTTAATTAATTAATGAAGCTTGATGTGGAAACGTCCAAAACTTGGATCTTGGAAACTACCGCACCGATCATCACCAATCATAACTCGGTAATAATTTTTTATAACTAGTCAGTATTTTTATAGCTGAGCAATAAATAAAACAAATGAAGTTTCCACAAAAATGATGTGTTTCAGATTTAACCAATAAAAATTATAAACAAAAATGGAGTAAGTTTCAAATAGTTAAAATTTAAAGTTAAAAATTTGTTTTTCTTTAGTGAAAATCTCAAGAGTGTTGCAACATACAACTGCGTTTACAAAGAAATACTTCAATAAAATCTACTCTGTGATTTAATGCTGTGATGATAGCTCATTTTTAAACTAAAATTTCAATAACATCATTTTTCTCATGGATGGTTAACATTATTGAATGTCAAGTATAAGTACATTGTTGTAGAACTGCCAGACAATTCCAGAAAAGCCCTCAGGCCTAATAGCCTTCCGCTTGAACTAGCAGTTATACCTGCCCGGACGGCGGATATTTCTATAAAAATTCGTCAGATCTGAAGGAATACACATTTGTAAAACAGAAAAATAAAATCTATTAGCTATTTGTACAACACATTTACTGGTGGGTATATAAGATTTGGTTATTGCTTCATCAATTAGAAATAAAGTTTCTGGAAAATCTAAAATAACGTCACATAGTATCTTAAACCACTTTCGTGCCATTCACGTGAAATATAACATTTTCAGTTACATTCGGGAATTATCGGGTTTCGATTTTCTTAATTTAACTAAAAATTAATTTATTAAAATTACGAGGTTGTTTTTAAAAGGAAAAATTGTTCTAACAATCATGTTTTATTCAAGTATCTCCGAAACAAGCTTTCCTACTAACAACAACCCCTTATGTAAAGCGAAATCAAACCACTTACTTAACATGGTTTAGAGATAACTAGGTTTTTGTTACTGCGTATCTTGTAAAGACCGTCGAGTTCTTTTTAAAAGTAACACCACAGTGGTAAGGCAAAACTTGCAAGGAAAAATGAAAGGTCAGACTGTTAACACCTTTATTTAAAAATCTACAGTAATATGATTTGATAAAACTAGGGTAAAAGATACAGGTCTTTTGAAGTGACACAAATAACTTCGAAAATCAAAGTACACGTGCGAATTTGTGTGTTTATAATCAGTGTTTCATGCCTTTGATTATTCACCATAATAACTAAAATCAATAATGTATCTTCTTTAATCCCAATATGCCATCGATTAATGAAACTCGTTTGATTGGTTGCCAAGGCAATTAA